TGACAAGACCAACTTCGATGCCACCTACGACCTGGAGGAGCTGTTGTTGGAAGAAGCACCGCTTGAGGCAAGAGCGCGGAGACAGAAGCCTAGAGAGGCGCTCAAGGACGATGCGACCGAGCAGGAGATCAGGGCTGAAGAGCTGCACAGGATGATTGAGACCCTCTTCGAGCCCTTCAACTACACCACCGCTGGTGACCAACGAACGCCTGCCGCCGTCGCAGTCGTAGATCCTCAAGATTCCGTCGGCGGCTCAAGGACGAGCAATCAAAGCGCACCGGACCAACCTCCCACTCCATCAGTAGATCCCTGGGGTCGCCCAGTTGCGAACAATCCCCAAGACGCAGAACTCCATCCCACACGCTCCGCCGCCACTGGGCGATCGACGCAATCTCCCAACGGCAGCCCTCCCCTTGCCACCAACATACTGAACCAGACCGCCAACACCGGCTCACCCACCTCGCAACGCGGCGAACACGTCGACTACTTCCCCAACGACGGCTCCGAAGTCCCCACTCCCTCCTTCTCCCGCCCGATGAACAACCGCCAGCGAGGCTCGCAACGCAGCATCAGCACCAGCGGAGGCGTACAGGTAGTTCTCAACGAGACCGGTTCTTGGACTGAGATGGCTAACCAAAGTTCCGCCCTCGTACAGAAAGATGCCCAAGCTGAGAAACCCTCCGGAATGCTCGGCTTCCTCAGTCGCAAAAAGGGCCGGGACAGGAGTCCCAAGGCGAAAGAGAGGGGTGTGCTGGGTAAAGAAGGCGCCAGAGTCATCATCAGCAATACTTGAGATGCCTGCTCTTTTTTCCTCACCCTTTTCCGCCTGCCCTGCCCTCTTTCACGTCACGCCCGCACAAAACGCCCTTTCTTCCAACGAGTTCCCTTGCCGTAGATGATGTCTTCCCAGGAGACCTTCCTTTCCGAGGCCGATTTCTTCTTCCTGCGTGGCGTTTTCTGGCGTGTTGTCGTGGGCTTCATACATGCCAACCCCTCTACATCTCCTTCAACGATGACGCCTGAAACATCATGATCATCGCTTCCTCTCCTTATCCGACCGCATCGAAGTTGCATAGTTCCACCACCCTGAGAAAAAAGAGGTGTGCGCGAAACGGGCGTTGTAGGCATTTGTTATTTTTCCATCAAAGAGACCGCGGGGACACATGGGGCAGATGTTGCCCCGTAAGCACAACGAATGAAGAACGAGATTAGGGTATAGATTGAGGAAGGCAAGAGAAGAGAAGGGACAGATGAGGCGTCTACTTTTTTCTCTTCCCGAAGAGAAAGATCGCGCTGTTGTACATGTGAATGTGTGGGTATAGAGATGTCGGGATGCTGAACGCATGGGCTATGGGCAACGCTATGTGCCGCCGCTGCTGTTGCCGCTATAAGATCTTATGAGTGGAGGTTATGCTGGGGATGCATGTTGTATTCGATAATTGTGCGCGGAACGTTAAATACCCATATTCCTACTCTTCATATGCGCTTTCTCTGGATTATGTTATTCGATCGTTGTGTCGGCTAATGGATAAAAGACTGGAACAGATTCTCGTTCTTCTGTAGTCGTTGTTTTGCGTTACTTCTGACTTCGCATTGCGTTGTGGCTATAGAGGCTCGGTAGTAGCGATCACATCCACGATATCATCCACAATGTCTTACTTCGTGAGAAAATGGTAACCTCCATGTTTAGACATTGAAACTGAACCAAGTTGGAATAGACGCGGCAGTAGGAGTATTGTTGCATTCCTTGCCTCATTCTTCCTTGAATTCAGATTCTGCACGCTCTTGCACCTTTCCCTTTCCAATCCGTCTACGACATCACTTGACGTGCCTGTTGTAGTTGTTTTTCCGTCTGAAGATCTTATTCGGTGTTGAGCAGCCGGGGATGGTACACTGATACGTCTCATTGCTGCCGAGGGATTGTCGATGCCCTTTTTCCAGATAATGTTTTGAGTCTGCGGCTATGCTGGGAGGGAAGACGTTGAATAGATGGCGTATATAGCCGAGGTTATGAGTAGGGCTTTGATGGTTTCTACGGCTGAGCTCGTACAGGTCTGGTGGATTTGAGGCAAAACTACGTACTTCAGCTAGCCTGTAGTGTTTAAAAGCTTGATTGCTGTCTTGGCAGGTCAGGCCTGTTGCATACGTCTTGACGCCAAATGTCCTGTTGAGTCTTGATTCAGAGGCGCCGGAGCTGTGAGGATATTTGGTACGCGCGTGTCCATACACTGGCAGTGTAAGGACGCATCTTTCGTGTTTTGATGGCAAGAACAAGTCACAGCATCTGGGAGCTACAACTTAGCGTTATATCGCGCATGGTGTATATTGCACTCCAAACAAACCCCTTGAAAGACCATTTTCGACAATTCTTTAAGTATCTGATTATATAGAAACGTATTAGTGATCGGTGGTCATTGTTGCGCATCATCCCAGTGCTCGCAACATTCACATCTCCAAAGGTTAGCGCAAAATGCGCAACCTAGATCATTGGCCACGGAGTTGTTGCCCTAGCATGCGCAACAACCCCAGCGCTAGTACACACCCAGTCAAGTTTATACCGTAAGGCAAATGCGACGAAAGCAATGTCTTAGTTCTTTTTCATAAACACACCCCGGTGCCCTCCATAGTGTCCTATCAACCGCTGTGTCCTCTTCGTTGATTTCAACGATTCGCTCGTAGGTCACTTGACAGCTTTGACTACTTCCCATTAGCTGAATGACATCACGTCAATACTGGAAAACTTGCCAAATTGTAGTCTGACCCTTGAAGGTGACGTCAACCCTCCCACAGTGTGGGCAACTCGTCTGCATCCACATGCTCTCACGAAACTTGATGCTCATATATCTCTGCTCACCAGGTTTCATGATAGATGTCCAAGGCCGGCGCAAATCTAGATTGCGCCGAGACTGATCTTGAAGCAGGAACTCACCTTCCCATATTTTGGCATGTCCTTCTTCTTTGAACACGTCTTCTAGCACTTCCCATGCTTTCGTTGCCATAACTTCACGGAAGAGCTATCGGATGTCAGCGAACTAGATACCTTAGTGAATACCTAAGGGGGTGTCTCACGTCCAATGAGGAGATCCAGTCGAGAGTGAAGGCAAAGCATTTGTCGAACCCGTCAAACAAGATTACCGGATTTTCCAGGAGTACTTGGGGAGGGATGTTTTGCTGCAACTGTTGGCAATATCTTTTGCGTTGTTCTATCATGGACTCCTGTCGTTCCCGCTTTCGATAGTTTCCAGGGCTTTGGCTTACTTGCACGACAGATAGCTCGTTTCCTGGAGTCGGCGACGCAAAACACCCTGTACCTATACTATTAGCTGCATAGAACCTATACAGGAAGCACTGTTGTGCTGATGATATGACGCACCAAACAGATCAAGGGGTCTTCCCATTCCCTGACCTCCCAGCCGCCTCGCTATCTCTTCTCTTAACCGTAGAGTCGCATATTCCTCCCCTTCTCCATATATGAGCGGCAAGAATACCCCAAAAATGCCAAGCAAACAGTACACCTTATCTTCCTTCAATGTTGTTGTGCGTGCGGCTGCCCAGCTTATACGCTCCATAATGCTGAACTCAGCTAGACTTCGGCCTCGTAGGGCTTTAGGTGCAATGTTAGTAATCTTATAGATTTCCTGCTCCAACGATATCCTGCTGCCTAACAGCTTTCCGTTCTTGGAAAAGAACTCAACGCACGGCGGCGCCAGCAGCTCTTGTAACGTCCAGCCCCGAGTAAACCATCGGCTGCGTCGAAAAGCTTCCGCCCAGGTTATTGGAAAGGCCTTAGCGTCAGTGACCTCCTCTGGTACCACAACATCTGTTAGGTATACGTAACACTTGGATGCACGCTGGTACCAACGGAACATAGAGTTGATAGCTGTACTGAGCTCAACACCAGCAGACTTGTCAATGCAGCAGGTATCGACCCAGAAGTATTGGAGGCCATCCGCTGCTGCTTGCCTACCGCAGAAACGAATCTTTTCGTAGCCACTCTTGTCCTCGCCAGTGCCCTCGACTAGATCATAATATGAGACCTCTTGACCTTCAGTCCATGTGTGCGATAGGATGGCATACTGGGGAACATCTTCATCGCTGAAAAAGACTAGCCTGAAGTCTCCGTTCAACGTGTGTTCCAAGAGGCGCATCACGGCGCCGACTTTGATCGCGATCTAGGCGTAGTTTCAGAGAGAGCTAGGAAGGATAGAGCAGGAGTGCGTATCGCTCGAGCTGCCAGAGTAGGTGGATCAACGAAGTGTGTCGCGCAGCCGGCAGCCTGGTGGTCGCTTGGCACTCAGGATTGTGGATTGATAACTCGCGGTGAGTAGCGAACGAGTCCAAGGGTGCGTCTCCAGCGGGAGGCAATCAAGGGTGTTCTCATAGCCTAGCATTGAGGGTTCAGCGACCTGTTCTACCTAAGAGATTATAGGCCTGGTGGCGCGGTCTCGCAACGTACCTGGCGGGATATGCAACTCATCAGAGCCGTTGATGGTGTGAGCGCGAATGCGATGGTCGTGCTACCGAAAGTTGCGGTCGATTTCGTAGGATCCAGGGCATCGCCGTTGTCGCGCATGCATCAACGACGGGGTGTGTGTGGTGATGGTGCCTACCGCGCAAGGTCTGTTAGGTCTCAGCCTGGCGGCCTTCGTCCTGCGGCCTGCAGCCTAGCGATGCCAATCAGGTCAATCTACATGCTTGCCCTGCCACTTCCGGGCGCAGTTTTCGTCTAACACGTTATTACACTGCGTTCGACCCTAGTTCTTCGAATTCCTTCAAGGGTATGACTTGCGTCAGAATCAGTAATTAGTTTGCGAACATGTTACGACCTCACGGTGCAGCGTCGCTCAGAACAGATCTCGCCGTTCATGTTTCCGACCTGGATAATAAGTCTGCTATTTCCAGAGATGCTGTGCTATGTACCTACATTGCACTGGAAGAGGGTCAGACAAATCTAACATTTGCCAGTCTTCTTTCATCTCGGTATCAGTATACCGGTCCCACTAATCGCATTCCATGTCCAAAGCTCGTTCCTTTCCTTTCCCACCTCCTCCATTCGCTCCCGCCACTCTTGCCACCCTCGCTTCGCAACTCCTCACATGCCTAGTAAAATTGTCCTTGCGCTTCCACTCTTGAGTTGGTGTCTTACAACCAGGCACAGTACACCAAAATCGCTTGTTGGACCGGAACAAATCCGAATGTACTGTGTGCTCGTGGCGTTCTAGGTCTGCTCGTACGCCGAAAGGTCGCACGCAGATGTCGCACACGTAGCGTAGTTTGTGTTGGCGGTTGTAGTGTTTTCTAAAGGATGTGATTAGTATGGGTTCACTGTTATTGCGGTACTGTGGTGAGGCAGAGGAGGTTGGGAAGGAGAATACGTACTTTTGCTGGCCTGGTGTGTTGAACACTTGCCCACAGTCTCTGCAAACCAACTGACTCTCTGAGGGAGTATACGGGGTAACAGGTGATTCTACAGCAAGAGAGGGTGTCGCGATTGCGGAGGAGCCCGACAGTGTAGCTTGGGTGGCTGTGGACGCGAAACTCAGGTCTGTCCTTGCGGAGTCAGGTGTAGATTTGCTCGAAATTAGGGTTGGTGTAGTCTTCGGGCTTTGCACAGGTGATGTTTTGGGTACCAACGCGCGCTGATGTGGGCGCCTTCCTTGTCTTGAGCGATCGATGAGAATGCGGTCCTCGTTGTTGAAGGGTGCAGCTACTGTGTTGTCGATTTCCAAAGGATGCAAATCACGATCTGCTACTCTCCTACGCGGGGCCGCAATGAGAGCAGATGCAGGATTGACTGTAGGAGTGAAATCTACAGCTTGTGGATGTTTGGAGTCGCCGATGACCACATCCGCCGCATTGCTACCGGGGTGGTGGCGAGAACTCTCTGGGTTATCAATCTGCATGGGCATATCGTCGTATGGCTCAGATTGTTCGAAGTCATTGCCTGGCGGTAATACAGCTCCTCGTTCAATATCGGTAGAAATCTCATTGCTGTCCGCTGCTGGCTCTTGCTGATAAATCGCAACGACATGCTCGGATGCGATTCTAGGAAGCGTCTCTTCTTCTATGATAGCCATATCGAAACTAGAGGACACGTGATTGTTGATCTGTCGCACTCCAGTGTCTTGTACAGATGCGTCCCGGGATGAAGTCGCGTTTGATCTGCTCAGTAGTTGGATAAAAGAGGAGTAGAACACAGGATTTGGACCATGCTCGGCATCAGACGGGCTGATAAAAGTTGGTGTCGCGTCTAACTCTACCAGCGGTACCGTCGTCCTATCGTTGGCAAAATAATCTGGCGAATTTCTACCGTCAGGGGGAGGAGAATACAGTTCGGCAGCTAAACACCGACCTTGCCACGATTGTCAGTAAGTATTTTAGAACAACAATCATCCATACACACCTGTCAACTCCGAGGGAGGTCTTTGATAGTAACTAAACACTTCCTGTGGAGTGTCACGCTCCTTCTCTCTTGTAGAGTGAAATCTAGCCGCGGCTGCCAATTCCGAAGTGACCGCTGTACATGAGATCGATTGTGGTGACTCAGAGTGCTCAGATGATTTAGCTTTCGACCTATATGGCGCGGGTATTCTCTGGTATATGACTCCAGCTCCAGAGAATGTCGTGTCAATCCTCGAAGGCGTTTCTGCATCTAAACGCTTGGCCGCCTTCTTTTTTCTTAAGAGCCAACATACTGTCCCGATAGCTACAACGATACCAATAATTAAAAGAGTGATACCAATCAGTAACGAAGGAAGCAAGGCCGCAGATGAGGCTCGAGTGTCATGAGAAGGCGCAGCATGCAACAATGCGGAGCGGACAGCAATGACAACGGGGGCCATATTGACTGCCAAAGGATTAATAGTAACAGCATGGTTATTTCGGGGAGATCAGAAGCACGCGCTGCTATAATTATGGTGTACTGCGGAAGAGTGCAAGGCTAAGTGAGGCACACTCGAGATTGGATCGGGCCAATCATACTTGCAGCTTGCGCCAACTCGAAGGACTCCATTTTGTGCATATGCGAATGCAGATTGCCCTCATGCAATCAGGATTCAGGTCATGCCTCCCAATTTCTATTGGCACATATTATGATAGATGATATATGCACGCCGCCTCTGTGGAAAGTTGCCCTATAGTATAGTTCCGGAGATGCGCAATGCCCATATCTGGTCACACGGAGGGCGATCTGCAAGATGTATGTGTGTATCAGTATGGCTATGATGAGGCATGAGAATGTGATTGATGCAAATTCGAGTCCTCCAACTACACATGGTATGCCTCACCATGCTGGATGTGGACCTTTCCCTGCTCGGCTCGTAGTCTTTGGCGCATGTCGCTCTTTTGACTCTTCATCTTCAACTTCTCGTTAAATTCCCTGTAGCGGTAGTCTTCTCACAACGCTGTACGTGTCGTTTGAAGTTGTCTTTCCGGGCGTACGTCTTTCCCGGAGTTGTGCAGTCAATGTTTGAGCATGTGAACAGCTTCGTGGGAATAATGTTGGCTTCATATCGGTGAACGTTATTTTCGTGTCGTTTGAGGTCCGCTTGGAGGGCAAATCTTGACTTGCATAGTTTGCAAGGGTATCGGCGGTTATGTTTACGGTTCTGATGAACTCTGCCGCACCTTGTATTAGCATAACTCTGATGATTACTCTGGATGTCAAGATTGCGCACCTTCTTAGACCTGATGTTCTAAAGCTAAGATAACAGACAGGACACGGGTAAGAAGAATCGCTACTTGTTTCAGTTGATGTTGAAGGAGACAGCAGAAAGTTCGCGGGGCTTGAAGCGTTAAGCGGTGACGAAACTGTTGAAGCTCGCGAAGAAGGAGCTATGACACCGCTGGGTGTACATGCGTAAGAATCTGACGACAAGACGATGGGAAGAGTGTTGTCGCAGTTACTTGATGATGATGACATAGTTGCAGCAAAATTGATGATTTCAACCGTCCCAAGATCATCCAAGCATCGTCCCTTCCCCTTGAAGAGTGAAGTGCCTTCTGATGCTGTGATGGGTGAGATATCATCTTCTAGAAACTCCGATATGCTAGACTCCATGGTGGGTATCGTATCGTCCGAAGATTCAGCATCGATAGATTGACGCTTCATCAGGGTGCCGAGACCAATTGTTGTGGAGGGCACATGCAGAGTCGGACGGTCTTCGAACCTATTTAAATTTGGGGGAAATGTCGCAATGTGATTTACAGAGGTGAAAGATCTCGTTAAACTTGGAGCAGCGATCGTGCTGCCTTCCATGTTTCGTTCCGATTGTGCCTTGACTGAGGATGCCAAGTGAGAGAATATAACTGGATTGGGCTGGTACTCCACATCCCACGGATCAACACAGACAGCTGTATCGCTCCCTTTTCTCTGATTGGTGGTCGTCTCCGCAATTTCGCGATCTGCGGCTGTTTTTGCGACTGCGCGGGTCCGTTTTCGTCTACCAACGGTAAAGTAATCAGGGATATCTCGGTCATCGGGTGGTGGACAGTACAACTCCGCTGGCGCATATGCTGATCCTAATTCGCTTATAGGCAGAACGCGACACTTGCGACCATTGTGATAGCTAACCGCAGAGCCTTGAGATGATTGTAGATTTTCAGATGAGCCTTCAGTGCTGGACAACTGTGGTTTAGAGTTGGGCGCTACACACGCGGGAGCTACCGTCATGCAAGATTCTCCGCCTACAGCAATGTCAGTTTCCACATAACCTGGTATGAGCACGTATTGTGAGAGCTTACTGGCATAAGACGGGAGCCCGTCCAAGTACGAAGCATCGTCGATTCCCAGAATGCGCTTCGCATCCACCTCGATTGGCTTTCCATCCACTGACGATGTTGTATATGGCGATCCTGCTAGCTCGGACACCCTGCGCCATGATCTTCCTCTTAAAACGATGTGTGATCCGGGAACAGGATCTGGTTTGATGTGCTGGTCGGAGAGAGCGGGTGGTATAGTAGGCGCTGACGCTTTCTTCGAACCTGATAGCTGAATATCTGTTATTCGAGACGCACGCAAGCTCCCATTGTCCGGTTCTTCTCGAATTGGCGTATCAGCTAAATCGTAGGGAATGAAGAGGGGCGTATCAGCTAAATCGTAGGGAATGAAGAGGGGCGATGCCGGCTCCCTCGATGTTCGACGTCTCTGTCTCCACAGTAGGTAGGTGGTGGCCAGGAAAAGAAGCAGACCGATAATAATTCCTATAACGATACCCGCGATTGCGCCACCATTGTGACTATCGACAGTGGCGACGCGTGACTGGAGATGTTTCGGCGCACGATCGATTTTCGGTAGAACCGCCATGATGTGCAGAGGTTGGTGATTGATCCCCTCAGTCAGGACGAATGTGGAATCTCCTCACAGTTGAGCGCTTATAGCAAAGCCAACGGACGCTGGAGGCATAGTGACAGGGATCGATACAGCCAATGTCTGCTAAAGCATCCTGCGACGTGATTGAGGTGATGCGGAGATAGTCTATATGCGGCATGGCACAAGGCTGAGAAGAGCTGGAGGCATACCGATGTCGGGGCTTGTCATTGGACAATCAGCATATCGCCTACTTCAGCCTCGCAGTGGCTGACCTCGTCTTTGAAGCCCTGTATATGCCTCCGATATGCTTCGAAGAAACGGCCAACATTTGTTGTCATGCATCGTGCCTTCCGGTTTCGCACCTGATGGGAGGGGAAACCGCGACTGAATGGGTGACAACAGCCCATGGACTGGCAACAGCATTTTCGGCCGTGTTGGAAGCAGGTGAGCACTACGACAGATGCCGGGTAAATGTCGCTGGGTCGATTCGTGCTGCAGAGGCACCAGACACAGAACACCACTCTGGCACCCGGAAGGCGGGAGATCGATGACTAACACCACTAACTGCTTTTGGCCGAAACTAACCGCATTGTCTCACCTGGGCAAGTCAACATCGCAGGTCGAAGCTGAGGAAGGAACTAATCGTTGGGTATCGAATATGAACGCCGTATTTTCACGCGGCTCTCCATAATGCGAGCGTAAACTCCTACAACCTAACAAGAAAACCAATAAAGTAGCAAGGCATCAGGCTCCTAGTTTTTCACGGCCTCGGTTTCCAAGGGCTGATCTTCCAAAGCCTGAGTTTCCAAGGCCTCTACCTAATGAGGCTTGATGCTAGACCTTGCGAGCCACAAGGCCACGCTCTCCTTTGCGACTTCACTACCCCATACGCCATCGGCTCCTCCTCGTCGCCATTCCTCGCCAGACACGTCTTCGCCGCCACCTCGTGTAGCCTCGCCGAGTAGCACTTCCAGATCGCGCTTCTGGCTGGACAACCAGCGCTTGAAGAAGGCCACGGGGTCCTTGGACATGCTGGTGAAGAAGGCGTGTTTCGCCTTCGACTGTCCGATTGCACCCATCAACAGCACGAGCTGCTCATCAATCTTCTGTATCTCTTGGAGGGTCTGAATGCTATCTGGTCGGCGGAGGATGTCTTGGAACAGCGGCTGCATCGGGTCTTCGAGCGCTACCTGGACGTCGTATACGGTCGGTTCGGAAGGGGTCTTGCCAGAGTCGGCAGCGGGCGAGATGTAGTCCTTGTCCACACGGATCGTGTATTGTAGTTGGATTGGTGGGAGAGTCGTGAGGTGTTGTTTGATGAGTTGGGGCAGGTTCGGGAAGAAGAAGTGGTCCTGGCCACCGAAGAGGGCCTTCAGCCTCGCGTCGCATGCAAATTTGCGCTCGTCATCTTCTTGTTGCAGGTGTTGTGACCTCGCGTATTCCCAGATGCCCATGAGAACACCAGCGCGATCCTCCTCATCTGTGTCGAGCAGCTCGGCGAGAGGTTTGCTCAGTCGAAAGACTTCGGGGTTTTGGTACCGCTGTAGGTTGATCGTGATGTTGATGTTCTCGTCGCCCTTGCGCTCGAACTCGAGTTCGCTGAAGTTGGCCTCCTTCGCAGTGGGGTTCTCGGGTCGCTTCCATTCGATTTGCGTAAAATTGTCGGGTTGTAAGCTCTTGGCGCGGTCGAAATCGATGTTGATGGACGTGAAGTAGTGTGAGAACTGCTTGGGCTTCGCAGCTGGCTTTTTCTCGGCTCCGTCTTCATCCCTAGATGCTAGTCAGTTTTGCTGTACGTGGTAAAATCCGACCGACAGGCGCTCGAACTGGCGCCGGCGCAAGTAAAAGGTCGACATACATAGCATCGGCGTCCTTCTCCTCGTCCTCATCCTCCTCAAGGCCTTCGTCGCCGTCCTCGTCGAGCAGGCGGCCTTGGATCTTCACGCGGTATGTCGCGTTGTTCTCGCCGTCAAAATCGAAAGCGTCTGCGTCGAGGCCGGTGCTCTGCCAAGGCTGGTTCTCGGCGGTGTTTGATATCCATATGCGCATGGTGCCGTAGCGCGATGCGCGCGAATGGTGTTTTGAGTCCATGACATCCAGCTTCTTGCGCATCATGGTCGCATCCAGCGTGCGCTCGACCTCGCGCAATTCCTTGTAGCGGGCTACGGCGTCGCCGATGCACACGTCTTCTACGCCCTCGGGAATGTTCTTATCGGTCGGGTTCTTCGCGATTCGGCGCATCTTCTCGCGGCGTTCAGCTTCGGCGCGTTGCGAAGCCTGCATGTTGGCGTTGTTGTACTGCGGTTGCGCAGCCGGGTGCGGAGCGTGGACGATAGGGCCTGGGTTGCGAAACAAGTGAGCGAGGTCGTTCCTACTAATCATCGTCTTTTACGGAAGGTATGCGCAGGCGGTCGGTGCGATGGGGCGTGTTGGGGAAGCTGTGGTTGGCAATGGGTACTTACCTGGTCGCCGGGATGGCGTAGCTGCATTGTGCTGTTGCGGATAATTATATCCCCGTGCCTGATAGTTCGGTTGCATGGTGCAAAGTGTGCGAAAATGAACGGCAGCGAAGTTCGCGATGAAAGCGCGTCAGTGGAGATGGAAGGTGGATAGGATGGTAACTTCTTCGAGACGCGTCGAGGTTAGGTACGACTACGTGCATGCACGGATACTCTAGCTCCCCCTATAGGCCATGCGGGGCATCACCCCCACCCAGCCCTCGACTGCACAAGCTTTTCCATCTACTTCCAGCCTCATCGACGTCAGAGACCCGCGTGTGATGTAAAATAGCAGCCTTCAAGAGGTGCTTCTCGCTGCTATTGGGCCCCGTCTCATTCACTGCTTCAGCATCCGTCTTGGCACTCGTTGACGCTCGTTCAGTGAAGCGATCTAGTATCCTCCAAGTTTATCTAAGCGTCATTATCGCTGTCCCCTGTTCTCCTTCTTCCTTTCTTTTTCTCCCATCTGCACCTAACAGGCAAGACCAGTCGACACCCAGCACTCTAGTCTTTGGCGTGAGTGAAGAGAAGGAAGCATGGAGGACCAAAAGTCAAAGAAACCTCTCAGAAGAATTACCAACGTGCGTATACCGGATAAACCGTCGTCGACGCTCTGGGACATCACGATCAACGATGGGAGAATTGCTTCGGTAGACAGCCACGTCAAGGACTCGGACGGGCGCAGTGAAGACACGCTAGATGGAGGCAATCGTCTCATAGCGCCATCGCTTTGTCATGCCCACATCCACCTTGACAAGTGCTTCCTCCTGCAGGATCCCAAATTCAGCGACTTACAAATCGAGAGCGGCGACTTCACCGAAGCCATGTCGATGACGGGTGAGGCCAAGTCAAGGTTTGAGGAAGATGATCTCCTGAGGAGGGGCGCGCGTCTCATCGAAGAGAGTATCCAACATGGTGTGACCGCTATGCGGGCGTTTGTAGAAGTGGATGGGGTGGTGCACATGAAATGTTTGGACGCAGGTCTCAAGCTGAAAGAAATGTTCAAGGATCGCTGTGAGGTGCAAATCTGCGCGTTCGCCCAGCTCCCGCTATTCTCTGGTCAAGACGGGGGTGAGGAAGTAAGGAAGCTGATGACTAGTGCTGCCTCGTTGGAGAAGGTGGCTGTGCTCGGAAGCACACCATATGTCGAGGATGATGAACAAAAGTCCAAGGATAACGTGAAATGGATCACGCAGTTAGCACTCAAATATCAGAAGCATCTAGATCTCCACCTTGACTACTTCCTGGAAGAAGACAAGAAGCCACTGGTCTGGGATACCCTGGACATGTTCAAAGAGCTCAAATGGAACGAAAAGGCGGGAGACAGGCAGATTACGCTAGGACATTGCACCAGATTGACGAGATTCCGGAACGACGAGTGGACGCATCTGCGACAAGAAGTAGGCGACCTGCCAATCTCTTTCGTAGGCCTGCCGACCTCCGACCTGTTCATGATGCGAACACCAGAGAATGTGCGCGGGACTCTGCCGGTCGTTGAACTCATCAACGAGTACGGGTTCAATGCTGCCATTGCCGTTAATAACGTGGGCAACGCGTTCACACCGTACGGGAACTGCGATCCTCTGGTAAGACATCTCGCATACATGCTCGTACAGAAATGTCGCTGAAACCGTGACTAGAGCATTGCATCACTAGGTGTCGGTCTTTACCAAGCTGGTACAAAGAAAGACGCTGAACTCCTATATGTAAGCAGCCGTTCAACACCCCGTTTGCTCATGCTAACCATGCAGGAAACCGTATCTACACGGGCAAAGACCGCTATTGGCTGCGATTCGACGTCTCTCGCCCTAAATCCGGGTCAGCCTGCCGACTTTGTGTTGTTCGACCGAATGGACAGTGGCTGGCACTGCAGAAAGAGCGTGGTAGAGGTGGTGTATGATGCCGGCCAAACTCGCCAAACGGTTTTCAGAGGCCGCTTGATTGCATCGAAAGATACACGAACGTAATGTATGAGGTTTCTTTAGTGATGCTGAACGAGTTGGTGACACTGGAAGGGGGTTATTAGGATGCCACGCAAACCGAGGAAAAAACTGAACAGCCTAGAGCCTACATTGGCGCTGGGTCACCGCCTTTGCATGATTTTGGCTTAATGTAGCCTGCAGACCTGTTTAGTTTTTTTCTTGTGTGAGGTGATGCGGCCTCGAACTGAGTGTCTCAAACGTACGTATGAAAACTTTATCCACTCCGCGCTTTTTGGTCTAAGTATATGCCTGTCGCTTTGTATCAGCTGCCTTAAATCGAATCGTTGAGGAGGAGTGCGATATTCCTCCGCAGTCATCGCGACTTCCTTGAGATGCAACAGTCGTCCCAATGGGGCCTAGAAGACCCTGCTTGTGACACATTATGTGCAAACAACCCACGAAGACTCCTACCCGCGCTATACAAACGAGAGATACTGCGTTTCCACCTCCGCGAGACCGAAAAGCGGTGGGCGACACGCGCTCACGTGTTTCATCTTCACTTCACCGGAAGGTGCAATCGCTGCTAACAGACCAGACTCGGCTATTTGAGGACCGAGCGCCTGTACCACGAGGCTCCAGCACCCATCAATTCTGCAAATATCTCGCATCAACGCCGGTATTGAGATTGAACTGAAGGTAGTGACCGTGCTGCCGCCTGGACGAACGTCATGGAAGCTCTCGACAGCGACAACATGCTCAATAATGCGCAGCAATCGCGACACCCAACCGAAATGATCCACTCCGGAACGATCAACGACAGACACGAGCACGTGAGTCGTGGTCATCAACCGACTATCGGGCAGGTCGTTTACATATTCCTGGACAACATCAAGGTGCGTCGTTGCTTTTGCACTTATCTTAGACCCTACACCCTATATAAGAGAAGAACTAAACACCTAGAAGCCTACGTTACTATTAAGCTACTAACTTTATAAGTTTTTATCTTAATGTAGGCTCTAAGGTATTTAGTTTTTCCTTTAAATAGGGTGCATTCCTATTCCTGTAGCATCTGAGACTGACTATCGAAGCTCCGATTCGGTGAACATTCGACTGAGGTCACCAGCATCTTGAGAATCCTTGGTACATTCCGAGCTGGAGAGATGTCGAAGAAAGACACACTCGTTGCGATCAGGAACACGCTCGGAGATCATGCAGACCTCAAGCAAGATCTTCTGAATATCCTGTTTCACAGAGAGGCCGACTGGGGTAAGTTTTGACTATACGAAATGCATGTGAGACATATACTGACGTCGTGCGTCTACCTCCAGGCGTGGGCGACTTCGACTTTGGGTTCCGCCAGCCTCTCGAACAACCCAGCCCTAGCCCTCAATTCCTACAGCCGGCTCATCAGCCTCAGATGCGCTTACCCCGAATCTCTCCACTATGGCACGAGGATGATCATACCTACTATAGCCAGCCTTGGTCTTCTGTCACCAACGGTCCGATGCTCGACCATGCGCAGTCTCCCACCGGCAATCACTTCAATTCGCCAGCAATCTCTTACCAAACCCAACTGTCTCCAGCTCTCTCGCCAAGGAAGGGAAAGACTGCCACCGCTAGCCCATCTGTGCTTGGAGTACCCGTCGCTGTACCCATCGGCCAGCCCATCGACGAGATGCCCCCTCCATCAAAGAAACGCCGTCGTCGTCAAAGCTCAACAATCCAGGCTAAGACGAAGGAGGAACCAAGAGAAGAATATGCCGAGATCGCTGATCGACTCTCAGACCCAACCCAGCCGGAAAAGAAGATCAGAGAGGCAAACACCATGTCGCAAGGAACAGGAGGGCCATACATTCACAGTCTGTGCGGCAAGGGATTTTCCGGCAGGTCAAAGGTCAAGAAACACCACTGGGGTAAGAAGCTTGATGATCTGGAGACAACTAGCGGTTGTTGGGCGAAGAACAACAAGCCAGACGTGAGCTGGAACGAGCATCCGAGCTGCAGAGAGGGCGTGGCACAACGAAAGCCTTCATCGGCCGTTCTGAAACCGAAAACGTTGACCCAAGAAGCCCCATTGGTGCCTTCGATGGTACCTACCTCTGGAGACCGCAACCATTCTCTTGCCGACACTTCGCGGTCCCGCCAAGAGAGGGAGCAGCCTATCGAACACATGAGCTCTTATCATTCTCATCGGCTGCCTACTCGATCAAGTTTCGACGACCTACTCACTGCTGTCAACGTCGCGTCCGAGATCGACGCGCCACGACCCCAAGGACGCATCGACTCTGTGGTCTCTCATCTCGATGCTCAGGCAGCAGCAGCTGAACAGAACAGGCAGTACATCACCAACTGGCAGAACGCTTCAGATGATCGTCGTGAGGAGTCTCTTGCATACGGTCGCCAGTACCCATACACTACACAGGGACTTGGCCTTCGAGGTGTTCACGTGCCAGTACACATGGCTTTGCCGGTTCTTGATGGATCGTACCAGTACCCTCCTCCCTCACGTTCTTTCGCCGATTCACACTGGGATAACGGCAATGAGTTGGAGTTCGATGGTTCGAGGCGACAATATGCGGCTCTCGAATCCCCGTTCTCACCTGGTGCAGATGCGGAATACCGTTAGACCTAGCCAGGGAGCCAGTTTGCGCGCTCTACTGGGACGAAAATGGAGAAGGTCGTATGGAAATTGACTGCAAGCGTCAGCGAATATAAAGCAGAATCCATCGAGTGCAGTGGTGGTTGGAGCTACAGAAGAAGTGTACGACTATAATCAACGAGAATACCCGACTCATGTATGTAACGGTTGTTCGTAGAACAACAGAACATGGCGCGATCTAATCTAATGTCTTCCAACATCATGTTGTATCTGCATGATCAGGGCGTGATGATGAATGACGAGCTGCTTCGTAGAAGGATGCAGATGGCGGTGTCATTGCTGCATGCAGTATACCATCCCGACCTTGCATACACGACATGTGGCGTGGTTCAAGCTTCCGCCTCAACGGGTAAGCTCATCGGCAGGGATACTTCACCCCAGCCGCTCTCCGCGTAAACAACAAGCCATCTCCACGTTCTTCTGCCTGTGAAGGGGGCGCGTTTAGTTTTTTCCGCTATTTTCCGCGAATGGCGACTTTTGCCGGTGCCTTTTACTAGACTAATCCTTGTCAAGTGAGATTGTGTAGTCGCGCTGCTGGGAGCTATGACGACCGAGGCTTCGAGCTTGCGATGGAGCTGGATGCCTCATGATACAACACGAACGAAGGACAACTGCAATTGAGAGCGACAACCTTGTGCGACAGCTGATCGTCACGCTCCATGGCACAGATGTGACTAGTATGCAGCTTCTGTGAGCTTACGCGGGCCGATTTCGTCATAGCCGCGTTCCTGGGGAAATTGACATGGCCTTCCTGCGGGGAAGAAGCGCACGTTCGCTACCCTCGAGCGGCGACCCGCACTTTCCCCAGTACGAGCCCGTTAGCACCATAAACCCGGAGGCTGGAGAAGTGAGAATATGCGGGATGGATCCTAGTCACAGGATCGTGGAACGGTAATTACGCCGGTAGCCTGTTCGTCTATAGCAGTATATAATAACCCTCCGCCCTTCAACCCCGTACGCTTCTCCACACCACATCACATCACCTCCACTTCCCAACTCGATCGAGCTTGGCAAGTCACGATGCGGTTCTCAAGTGCACTCCCCCTCTTTGCTGCGACTGCCTTCGCGCAGTACAGCACCCCGCCGACCAACTCGAGCTCGTCCGGACCTGACAAGGACGGCAAGTACGAGATCTCGTCTGAGGGCATTCGCGGTCACTTCATTCCATATGGCGCGTCCGTCTCTAACTTGTTCGTCATGGGCAAGGACGGTGTTGAGCGCGACATTGTTCTCGGTTTCGACAACGCGACTGCTTATGAGGGCGAGGTTCACCCCCATTTGGGTGGTGTGCCCGGTCGTTACGCCAATCGCATTCGGAACTCTACCTTTTCCATCGATGGCGAGCAGTTCTTCATCGAGCCCAACGAGAACAACAACAACAACACCCTGCACGGTGGACCAGATGGATGGGATTACCGCAACTTTACTGTTGTGGCGCATACCGACGACTCCATCACCTTCTCTATTGTCGATCCCGACGGCAAGGAGGGCTTCCCCGGTGAGGTCGTGAGCTACGTCACCTACACCATGACCCCGAACACCTGGAACATCAAGATTGTGGCACTTGCTACCACCAAGAAGACGCCCATCATGTTGACTTCTCACGTAAGTAAATTACTATTTCGACGCATATTGCAATGCTAATCAAGATAGACCTACTGGAACTTGGACGGATTCGGTAACCCTGAGGATGAGACCATCTTCAACCACACATTCCACATCCCATACTCTGGCCAGCGCATGGATGTAGATGCTATTCTTATCCCCACCGGTACTATTCTTCCCAACGAGCAATACTCTGTCAACGACTTTTGGTCGGCGCCCAAGCAGATTGGTGCCAACCAGACTGCGCCCGAGCTTCTCGGCAACTGCGGAACTAACTGCACCGGTTACGACAACTGCTACCTCGTCAACCGCGACGAAGCTGAGGCTCTCGACTGGCGCAACTCTGGACCTGTCGCTTCTCTGTGGAGCGAGTGGTCTGGCATCAAGCTCGATGTCTACTCTGATCAAGCCGCATACCAGATGTACAGCTGCCCCGGCCAAGATGGTATGTGAAACACGCAAAAATGTCGTAAAACCGCTAACAAAAGTGTCAGGTACTCTGCCTATCAAGTCTACCCAAGGTGCTGAGGGAAGCAGCGGCTACGTCCCCAAGTACGGCTGCGTCGTCATGGAGGTTCAGGACTGGATTGACGCCATCAACCACCCCGAATGGAGGCGCGAGAAGGAGCAGATCTTCGGTCCTTCCAGCGGAGCTTACACGCTCGAGGCCCAGTACGTGTTCTCTACTACTGAGTAGATTGCGAACTGCCGTGACGAAAGAGCGGAGCCTTGGATAAGGTGACATGATACCACGTGCGATAGTATAATTAGACACCTTTTG